TGCGTGCGGGGCCCCCGCGGCAGCAGCTGCTGGGCCTGGCGCTGGGCGTCGCGCAGCTCCTTCCGCCACTGTACCAGCTCGGGGTCGCTCTGTGCCAGGGCAGGGGACCGGTTAGTCCGGGGCTCCCCACGGGGCCACAGCAGGGGATGGGTTAGCTCAGGGCTCCCCATGGTGCCAGGGCTGAGGACAGGTTAGTCCAGGGTATCCCACGTGCCAGGGCTCTGGATCACCCCCACCTTTCGGCACCGTGCCTGGTGGGGCTCTGAGAGCTCAACATGCAGAGACACTGACCAGGAAGGGGTGACTAGCACCCAGTATGAGGTGGCTAGCAGCCAGCAGAGCAGATGGCTCCCAATTGGTGTGAGGTAGCCTAGTATCCAGCAGGGATGAGTAGCAGGAGGTGGCTAGTGCCCAGCAGGGTTTGGTTAGTGCCCAGCAGGGCATGGCTAGCAAGTGGCAGGAGGCGGCCAGTGGCCAGCTGGGGTGACAGGTGACTGGCAGGGAAGGGCCAGCCCGGGCACACTCACATCGCACTGCAGCACGAACTGCTTCCCCCCGCGGATGCGGAGCAGGATGCACTTGCGCTCCTTCACCTGCGTCTCCTCCACAGAGTCGATCTCCTCCATGGTGAGCAGGGACTGCTGGGGGGACAGGCTCAGCCCAGCCCCGGCCTCCCCAGCCTCCCGCGCTCCCCGTGGCCCTCCGGCCTTCCTCGTGCCCCCACTCCATGCCCCTCACATCCCCTATGCCCTACGTGTCCTCCCAACACCTGTGTCCTTCCAGAGCACCAACACCCCTGTGCCCCTCGAGCCTGCCCCACGCCCCCTTGTCCCCCTTGTGCCCCTCTTACCGGCGACTCGCCCTCCCCACGCCACTCGAGGCGGTTGGGGAAGAGATAGAAGTAGCGACGCTGCCACTGCGTGAGGAAGGGGTTGCCCAGCTTGGCCATGTAGCCGTGCATGATGCAGTCCTTGCCCATGGCGTAATCTGCACCCGCCGCGCCAGGGGAGAGACAGGGTCAGGCTGGAGCAGCAAGGGGTGGGTGCCTGGGGGGCTGGCAGAGGTGTTGGGGCAGGCAGAGGAGGGCAGGGGGACAGTGCAAGGCAAAGCAACGCCAGTGTGGCAGCATGCCAGGGACACCCCGTGGGGACACTGCCTCCTGGCAGAGCGTGAGTCTGGCAGTGCCAGGGCACCAGGGTGCTGCGGGCAGTGCCATGGGGCAGTAGCCAGGAGTCAGGGAGCTGGGGCAGGGCTGGTGGACCAGGGGACCCAAAGAGGTGCCAGGGCAGCTGTGTGGCTGGCTGTACCCCACAGGAACCACGGGCCAGAGCAGCGCTGGGCAATGGGGCTCCAAGTGGGTGGCAGAGATGCCAAGAGCTGTGCTGGGGAGTTCAGGCGGCACCCGGCCCTGCTCACCTTCCTCATGGCCCAGCTGCTTGTTCTTGGCTTTCTTGCGGGCCTCCAGCTTGTCGGTGTCGGCGTTGACAGCTTCGAAGACCGTCTCGGTCACCTCCTGCTGCCACCGTTCCGAGATGGTGAGCGGGAAGTTGCGGTAGAGCTCCTGGTCACTCTCCAGCAGCTGGCACACAGGTGGGCACTGCCAGGTGAGACACCAACTCACCAGCCCCTGCCCCTGTCCCTCCCGTGCCGGCCCTTTGTACCTTGATGCCCTTTGTGTCCTCCTCATCGAAGGAGCCGATGTCAAAGGCATCGGCCGCGTTCACCTCTCCGCGGGGTGGGATCAGGGGTGGTGGGTACTGCCGGCAGGAGGGCTGACATTAGAGGGGTGGCTGCCCACGCTCCTGCAGCCCTTGCCATGGCCCTTCACCATGCTCCTCACCTTCTGAAGGAAAACCATCTGCCAGTCCAGGCCCTTGAAGAATGGCTCCTCCTTCACCTCTTGAGCCCTGAGAAGCGAGCGGGGGCAGTGAGGACCGGCGGGCTCCCAGCGGAGCCAGGACGGGCT